CCTAAATAATATATAAATAATAACTAAATTTAGATATTAAAAAAACAAAATAATGAGAATAAAACAGATTTTTCTTTCTGCTTTTGCCTCACTTGTTCCTTTCCAAGAATGAACCTCTTGAACCTAAATGTGCAGGTTTCTGACGGTCCAATCAGGACGGACCCACCTTGGTTCAGGTAGGTCAGGGTCTCGTCCTGCTGCCTGACAGCCGGGGATGTGGCGGCACGCAGAACGCACAGAAACGGCGTCAGTTTGGCGCCGTTTTCAGACAGAAGCTGAGCTTCTTCTTTCTTCAGGAAAGGAGCCAAAGCATCTCTGGAAGAAAACGTTTAGAGAAACAGATTTAAAGGAATCAGGAGCAGAAAAGCTTCTGATCAGTAAACTTCGACTCAGAAGTTCTGACACAGAAGTTCTGACACAGAAGTTCTGACAGAAGTTCTGTCAGAAGTTCTGACAGGTCGTAAAGTTTCTAATAAAAGAAATGCAGATAAAAACTGTCTCCTTTTATCTGAGCAGTTGATCAAAGTGCAAACTGCTGATGAAATCAGAGAAACAGGATGAAACCAGGTCCAGAGGCTTCAGGATGGTCCAGGTGAGAGGCTCACCTGGTGCTGGGGGTCTGCAGGTAGGACTCAGGGTGGGGGTGGCAGAGCAGCATGCTGTCCAGTCGCTTCAGGCAGGTTTACAGGCAAACCTCACCGCTCGCCTCTTATATGGTGCTGATGATGTCACTATTAGCTTTGTTGACCATCAGGAGGCGGGGTCAGAACACACACACACACACACACACACACACACACACCTGCACGCAGACAGGATCAGTGGACACAGTCCAGATGTTTAAAGACTCATGAATGGAAGCAGATTAAATAATCTGCAGAATCTTAAAAAAACAGAATTAATCTGTTTCACCTGCAGCTTTAAATCTGTTAAATAATAAATTATTTCCTGCAGCTGCTGATCAGAAAAACAACATCTMAACGTCTGCTCAGGTTAATGTTTACCCAGACCTCAGACCACCGCAACCTGCAACAACCTGAACAAAGCTCAGAGGAGAAAACCTCCTGAAACTCTGGATTATCTGTCAGAAACGTTCTGCAGCAACAACTGTGTCCAAGTGTCCCGCTGATGATTGGTCCTCCTCATTCTGTCCCACAGCATGATGCTGCCACCACCGTGTCTGACTGTTGGTTCAGGTTCTCAGGTCCTCCAGGTCTGTCTTTGTCTCATCTGTCCACCTTTCTCCAAGAGACAGACGTCTGACAGAGACTATAGGTGATAATAATAGTAATAATAATAATAATAATAATAATAATAATGAGCAGAAAACACCTGAGTTCAGTTTTCAGCTTGTTTATTTCAGAGCAAACAGTTTTTCTTTACATCGCTGCGATCAACAAACAGAAAATCAGCTTCTGTTCAGTTTTTATCATCAGAACCAAATCAAATAAAACTACGTTTCTTAAATAAAATATATAAATACAGGTCAGAATATTGTGACAGAAACAAACTGAAGTTCAGCTCATAAAAGATGTTGGAACCAAACTACAGAATTAAATCAAATTAAAAACTGAAGAAAAGTCGTTTGAAGTTTCGGTACCAAAACAACAAAAGATCAGAACAATCTGTACATTCATGAACTTAAATAAGCAGAGTTGGACCATCAGAACCACCGAAACCCACCAGACGGCAGAGTCCTGGAATAAAACCAACGGCTTCTCTCAACTTTAAATCAAAGAGTCGAAGAAGAAAACCTCGTCTCCTGAAACCACGAGTCAGAGGCGTGCGATCAGACAAAGTGCACTTTAAGATCCGGAAATAAAAAAACAAGCCCGACCCGACCCGACC